ATGTACAGTATGTGAGTGGCCCACATCTGGTTTAGTTTGTTCACACTCCTGTGGAAACATCAGGGGGGAAAAACAGATTTGGGAAACTTTGTTGTTACCAAAACATAACTTTTTAAAGCAGTTCAGGTAAAACTGGTTTAAAGTAGACCGTGTCTCTACTGGACTGAGATGGACTCGGAGCAGGTTTGGTTACCCAGGTGCTCTTTGAGGGCCTCAGCTGCCGACACATCCTGCATCACAGCATCCAGAGACTTTCTGAGCTGCTCCAGCTCCTCCAGACCAGGACCAAGTACCCGAGACACCTGCTGGGTGTCCAGCTGGACGGCGGACAGGGCATCCTCCTGCCTGCTCAGCGTCCCCTGATCACACACACAAACAGGTACTTCGTCATGTTTAGGATCTGAGGTGTGATTTTTTTGTTGGTTTGTAAAGCACGAATCCTGTGAAGCTCATTTAAATTTGGTGCTGAGAGAGAAACGAGCACACTGTTGGTTTGGGTCCAAACACGGGATTTGGTGACAGTAACGAACATAAACTAACACCAAACTGATCCTTAGAGTTAAAAAATAAATGTATCATGAGAGGCATTGGTACGTCCAATACTTTTAACCCTTAACTGACCCTGGATGAAGGAGACCTGAGTGAACAGATGAAATGATAGTGGATCTAGAAAAGTGAAGGTAAAGGGAGGCGGGTCAGACTTTAACCTGAGCTGCAGAGACGACGTGTTCATGGTTGATGCTCTGCTGCAGCAGTGGTCTGATCCTCCTCTGCAGGCCAGCGAGCAGTAAAGAGTCTGTCTGGACCTCCTGCTGCCTCTGCAGCGCCCCCTCCTGGAGAACCTCCACCTGACGACGACAACAGCCTCAGGTAAACTCTTTGGTTTAGACAGAAATATCTACGAATGTTGGCAAAAACGACATGTGTACAAGTCTGAAGCTTAGCTGCCAGGTGCACTGCCAGCGCCGTGTACAGGTCTGTGGCATCTGTGCGACTCATTTCAGTCGGACGTACCTGTTGTTCCAGGTGTGTGTTACTCTCCAGAACCAGCAGCATGTGACGATTGACAGCAGCATCTTCATGTAGCTTCACATTCCTCCTTTTATCCTGCAGGACACGACACTTGTCGTCAGGTGACAGACTCACAGCTCAGTGAATCACAGAGTCGACACTCAGGACTTTTCTTGTGTTGGTGGATGAACACACCTGTACAAAGCAGCCAAACTTCTTATAAGAACAGTCAACCAGCAGCTCAGGACACGACTCCATGTGCTCAGTCAGCTGCAAGAGAGCAGGCAGTTTGTGTTTGTTCATGTCACTGTGGTCACTTTCAGATACAGTAGCTGCCACACAGTAAGCCTGTGTTTGTGACAAACCTGCTGCTCTTAAACTCAAAGGGAGTTTGGCCTCCAGCAGCGGGTCCTCTGAGGTGTACCAACCTGAGAGGGTAGCCTGCTACACTGCAGGTTACTTTTTGTGTGAAGGCAAAGCAGACAGGTGCAAGCAGGTGTTCTCAACACAACAGGAAGTCAGTTAGTATAGTTCGGCTGTTGGTCGATGTGATCAGTAGCTGCAGTGATGCACAGCTCATGGAGGAACACAGGCTACTGGAAGAACCTCAGACTCTGAGCCAGTGAAACCCAAAACACAGTATGTGTATTTTCATTGTGGCCCCAGTTTCTGAGGAAATCATTCTCTCCGATGTCCCTCACAAAACAAACATCAATAAACCTGCTTAGAAACAGCAAACGAACAGAAACGGCACTCAGTTTGGCTCCAGAACTTCACTGAGAATCATCAGAGTCTTAGTTTAGTGTTGTGTTACACACAGATGTGTCGCCCTGCTGATGGCTGCCTGTGCAGGTTCATGGTGTGAAGCAGAGGAGGAGGAACTCACCTGGTGTCTGGGAACCTTCTGGGAGCAGCTGTTGGGACAGTCCACCTCCACATCTGGACATGAGCTCTGCACATGGTCCTACAGAGCACAGTCACCAGAGACACGGTGAAAGACTCAAAGCTGTGACTGAGGGGTAGAAATCCTCTCCTGCAGTGGAGCGACTGATCGCAGCATAAGAGTCAAACCCTAACCTGCTCCTGTCCCCAACACTGGCTGAGCCCAGAAGAAGGCTTTTGATTGACCTGTTCATCACCTTGAACAAGTTCTGGATATTGACTCTTAACAACTTTGGCCCTGTCTTATTAGCAAAATCTAGCAGGACATCTGAGGCTCAAACCCACCCGGCTGCAGATAGTTACCTGGATGAGGCTGAGACGGTGCGGTTGCCTGCAGTGTGGGCACAGCTCCATGCGCTGAGGACAGGTATTGGTCAGGTGTTCGTGCAGGTGTCTCCTCTGCAGCGCCGCCCTGCAGCCTGGGTTGGTGCACTGCAGCTGCTCGTACTGACACGACCGCAGATGCTCCTGCAGGGGATAGGAACAAGGTTTTGCCTGTTATGTGATTTTTCAGATGGGCTGATGGTTTAGACTGATCCGCTGTTGGGACATTAGCTGTTACACAGCTCTAGATATCAAGTCTGGGAACAGGTTTATGAGAGACATCAGGAGTGAGCTGTGGAAATGAGGCTGAAAATAACACAAAGTAACAGAGTTTGTATGAGCTCAACATGTAGAAGTTGGTTTTGTGCCTAAAACCGCTGAAATCACAAGTCCTGAGAGGAAAACGTTCATTATGCCAAGAAGGAAAGCTGCTGCCAGCTGCCGTTTCTCACTGGAGTGTGTGTCATGTTGCTGCCAGAGCCGACACACGTCTGTCAGAGGAGGCGTGTGGGCACAAGGCTGCGATGTAACGGCGTGTAGCAGAGACTCGCCTCAGGACGGTCGTGTCACAGCAGCTACGTCACTTCCAAACAGGGAAGTGACAGTTTTCTACCCCAGTGGTGCACACGCATCCTCAGCTGTAATATATGTAAATCTGCTCATGTTCAGAATCTGCCAGTGTCAGTAACGAGGTCCCAGACGAGCTTGTTAAACTGGGAATGTTCTGTTAATCTCTGTCAGAGTGAGGTGCTGTTTGGAAACCCCACCTGCAGCCGGTGCAGTGTGACCACTTGGGTGCACGCTGGCAAGTTGGTGCAGAACACTTCTAAACTGGAGATTTCTCGTTTGCAGCAGTTGTCCTGGAAAACCTGCAGAGAACATGAGCCTATTTGAGCTTCAGCAAATCTCATGTGCAGGAAGAACCCTGCCAATACACAACCTGATGACTGTCCACAAAGTAACTACTGTGAGTACACTTACTCTAGTACTGTACCTAAGTACAGTTTTATGTTAGTTCATACTTTTACTCCACTCAAGTTCAGAGACGAAAACTTTGTTTCCCAACTTTAGTTACTTTGCAGATGCAGCTGATTAAAACAACAAGTGATGTGCTGACCTCTGCTGGTGTGATCACAGCTCCGTCCACTGGGCAGACTGGGCTGGATGGTGCCGAACTCTCCCTGCAACACAAAGCACAAACCACAGTTTTAAGGTGGACTGAGTCAGTGTGTTCAGCATGGGTGTAATTTAAGGTGGGCTGAGTCGGTGTGGGTGTATTGTAAGGTGGACTATGAGTGTGTTTTGAGGTGGCCTGGCTCCTACAGCAGTCCCTGGAGGCAGTGGAAGCAGTAGATGTGTCCGCACGAGTTCTGCTGAGGATTGAGCACGACTCCTCTGCAGACGGGACAAACAAACTCGTCCTTCAGCTTCAGCACAAACTTCAGGCAGTGCTGGACGGAGGCCAGCTCCGACTCCCAGCAGCCCACGGGGCCTGTCGACCTCCTTGCGGACTCCTCTGACTCCAAACTGGACTCCTCGGATCCTCCCAGTGCTGCGGCCATGAGTCTGCAGGGCTCCGAGCAGATCTGCAGGTGACTGTGAAGATTTTTAGAGCTTTAAAGTTTTCTGATTGGATTGTTACAGTCGGATCATTTCAGACCTAAAGCAAAGCTGTTGCTTATTTGGTGATAACGATGCTGAGGATGCTGTTATTATCATTATATCAGACTGTTGGTTTGTCTTTTAAGTCCAGTCTTTGACAACTCCTTATTGAGTTTCTTTGTTTTCTTTTTAAAACCATGATTTGGGTTCAGAGAGATTTATTTGTTTTACTCTTGAGGAACTACTTAAGAACAACAAGGCAAAAGATTTAAAAACTATACACCTCAATGCATCAGTAATAATCATTTTGATAGTATTCATATTATCCATCCACCCATTTTCCTCCGCTTATCTGGAACCGGGTCACGGGGGCAGCAGTCTAAGCAAAGATGCCCAGACTTCCCTCTCTCCAGACACTTCCTCCAGCTCCTCTGGGGGAATGCTGAGGCGTTCCCAGGCCAGCCGAGAGACATAGTCCCTCCAGCGTGTCCTGGGTCTTCCCCGGGGCCTCCTCCCGGTGGGACATGCCTGGAACACCTCCCTAGGCTCCTCTCGATGTGGAGGAGCAGCTGAGGTATTCATATTATAGTGTATTAATCATAAGGGTAGTTTTTCCACAGCGAATGAGCTTTTACTCTGACACTTTAAGCACATTGACCTGTCAGGAGTCTTTGTAGTATTAGTTAAGTGTGAATCTGAATATTTACCTCTGAGAGCATCAGACTGACTCTTCAGTAAAGGAGCCAGTTCTTCTTCCACCACTGAGATAGAAAATAATCAACTACGTCACAGTTGTTGCCTACTGGTAAAGGTTCGGTGCCAGTGGCTTGAAAATGGGTTAAATATTCATTTAAAGCGAAGGGCACGCGGCCGTGCACAGTGGAGGCTGGGGGCTTTTGGGGAGCGCAGATTTAAGCTTTTGATTTTCTTAATGACTAAAACCTGCAGATCTTTATTAAGGTGCAATCCCGGTAAGGGTCGTGCGTAACAAGCGCAGGTTGTGTTGTCAGTGTCCGTGCGTGCGTCCAGCGTGCAGGGGAATCCCCGCCGCCGCTTTCCTCATCTCCACCAAAGTCACCCGCCTCACTGGCTGTTTAATTGCTTGTAAAGCAGTAAAATAACAGTGAAATGTTCCAGACGTGGCTTCTTGACCTGCTCATTTCAGATTCTCGATCCTGACGCTGAAGTTCGCAGCTTCTTTACTTTCAGTTTCTCCAGCGCTTCAGACTCGCTTCAGCTTTTAGTGGACTTTCTTACCTCGTTAATCGAAATCCTTCTGAAATCCCCAAGCAGCCGCACACTGCGGCCTGCCAGCTCCAGCTGATCCGTATGATTGATTAGTATTGATTACGCGTGGGGGACAGAGCGCGCGCGGCGGCGGAGGAGGAGACTAGAGCAGCAGGAAGTGACTCATCAGCAGCAACCTGCTGCGTCGGTGTAGCCCCGAACACGAACCGGGCCGAGTGCCACTGCAGCACCAGTACAGAACCAGTCAGATGTACTCCCAGTACCAAAGGTAGAAATGCCCAGTGTGCACACAGCAAGTCTGAATTCAACAGAAATGATCGTGTTTTATTAGTAACTTCTAATTTTGGCATCAGTGGGTGTTTACATTCACCCTAGAGCTGTAAGTTGTAGTTGTTTTTAACTCCACCACCATCTTCAGCCCGTCAGAGTCCGGTGTCATTGAATGTCTCTCCTGAAGCACTTTGGTCTGTTGTTTTAGAAATTCATTTCAGCTCAGTTTGTATGGCGCCAAATCATAACAACAGTCATCTCAGGACACTTTACACAGTAACATAGACCTTATTAGTATTATTACTACTGTTATTACTGAGGAAAAACCCAACAACCCCCCACTAATTCTACTCCACTACATTTCAGCTGGAAATGTTGCACTTTTTACTTCACTATCTAATAAGTGTAGTTACTTTGCACATTCAGATTAATAATACATACATACGATAATCACCAAATCAATTACGATAAAGTTTGTCAGCTGCAATAAACTGTGATGCACTGAGTGGCTCAGTAATTGTCATCCAGTGATATACACTGATGTGTGGCCGTTTTGGGTCATTTCGTACTCGTAGCTTACTTATGGAAAATTAAGTACAAGGTTTTTCTTGTTTTACTTAAGTAAAAGACCTGAGTACTTCTTCCAGCACTGAACACGATATTTATCATATAAAAGTAACAGGATTCACAGTGGTGGCCTCCTGCTCAGCTGAACCGAAGAATGACAACAGTCTGATGGTACAAATGTAGTTTTTAATGAGAAGGTCAGCAGCTTCATCTTAACATCAACATGTACAAGTTCTACTGAAACTCAGGGGACCCTATGATTTCAGTTACATTTAATACTGTGACATATTTGTCCAAAACGCATTAAGAGCACTTCCACAATGATTTGTTTACACCGAGTCCAGACTGGTAGCACCAGGAGGAGCAGTGGAAGGACAGAGGACGAGGAAATAGTCTGTAGTTTCCAAATCGGTCTCCAACAGAGACCACAAAAACAAAACATTTAAAACTCTGAGGAGCATCTGTCTTGTGTACGGACACTGCAGGACATCTGGGCAATGTGTTAGTGTTACATCAACTATAAACCCAGCTGTTTGTCAGAGTTACTGGCAGCTGACACCAAACTGTACAAGTCTACAGAGCGCCACTGTGTCCAGGATGAAAACCAGCAACCACACTGTCCCACTGGGTGGGCAGCTGCTTTGGGAAACTACTGAGCCTTTTAACACAAAGCACATCTTCGTCAGGAACCAGTGGCCCACAGACAGGAAGGCAAAGTGTTGAGTTTGTCGGTTTGACTCTGCACATGCAGACTAGTAGAATACAGGCTGGCACCAGTGTGTAACCCCCCCCAAACATCTGTTGTTTGTTCAGCTATGGTCTAAAGTAACATCCTGCTGACTCTGAGTCTCACCTGTAGTGGAGCTAAACAAGTAAAGTTTGTCCTGAGGGTGGCGCCACAGGAGAAGTCATAGTGTCATTGAAATGTAAAGGTTTCATCATCAAGGCCGAGATAACGGTGAGTCCTGACAGTGGGACGAGGATTACAACTTCTAAAAGATGATGGCAAAATTAAATTGATCAAACTAAAACTTCATCATTAAACAAAGTGATTCAAGTTCCTGATTTGTTGTATTTTTAGACCTTAAAATTAGCAGGTCGTCGTTTCTGATTTGGATGAATTTGATTTTAATGGAACATCCAGCTTTCTGGCTCTGTGGACGTTGGCCCACATGGAAATAGCTCAAATATTGAACCGAATCGTCGTGAAAGATGGTTGTAATCACTTTGCTCTGACTTTTCCTTTATTGTCACCATCATTAATTTGTCCAGTACTTTGGTTTATGACCAAATACTGCAAAAACAATAACATTCCCATTTACCTCATCTGTACTTTGTGTTTAGTGCTAATTTGTAAATTTTAGTATGCTAACTTGCTAAACTAAGATGGCAAACATGGTAAACATAGCTGCTATACGTCAGTATATTAGCATTATGACCATGTTAGCATGCAGCTCAGAGTGAACTAAGCACATAGCCAAAGTGCAGCCTCACCACAGAGCTGCTAGCATGGTTGTATAGCCTCAGGCTTATTGGAACCTCAGAGCAGTTGATGAGAGAATAAATCAGTGGCTCTGACTTGCTTCCATTTCTACTGTGTGTCTTTTTTGTTTAGTTAATGCAATAATGTCCGAGTGAAGGCATACTGATGGGGAAAGAGAAGGGGCCCGAGGTTGAACCCTGTGGGATGCCACGTGTTAGGTGATGATTGGTCGATGAATGAAAGACTCTGATTTGCTGATCCACACACTTTCTGTGATAGATGTCTAAAGACTAAATGACTTCTAGTCAAACCTATTTTAAAAACAAGATTTTAAAACCAGATGCTTCTCAAACTAGTGGGTTCACTACATGTAAGTCCTGTGGGAAAAACCTTAACTACTACCACAGTTTAACAAAATAAAAATAAAGTGTCACTATTATGTTGAGGTGTGGTAAGATCAGGGAAAATTGCTGCAGTTGTTTGGAAGCAGGAAGTCACAGAGATTTTCCCACAGGACCTGAACGCAGCAGCCCTGCACACAGCTTCACACTGAGACTGAACATTTTATATCTCCTGTCACTTCAAATGAAACATGGTTTGTTAGTGGAGCGAGGAAGACGAGGCCGTCTCTGACTGATGAATGGCCAGGCCGGAGGACTGCTGGGTGGACCCTGGGCCTGACCCCCCGAGGTTTCCGCCAAGGGTCATTGGAGCAGGAGGTCGGGGGTTGAGGCGGGGTGGCAGCGGGTTGGAGGGGCGGATGAGGGGTGGCCGCAGGAGGGGAGGGGGCTGGTGGAGGGAGGAGGAGGTGCTGGATGTCACTGCAGTGTGAGCTGAAGAAGAAGAAGAGGAGGCTGCAGGAGACGCACCTGAAGAGCTCACCTGACCCTGCAGAGAGGAGAGGGCGGGGCTACGGTTATCTCACTACAAGGTGTTACAAGACTTCATTTTCCTCTTGGTAAAAAATGTTTCTATATGTTAGTTTTAACTCTGTTTGTTTAAGGTGGTTCAGAACCTGCAGGTCTGTCGGAAGATGATTAACAAGACAGGAAGGAACAAACATGCTAATGTGCAATAAAAAAAATTAAATAATCAGCTGGAGCGTACGCAGGACATGTACACATTAAAATATATAAAGCTCAATCATGAATACTCATTCAACCAATTCAAGCTTTTTAACGTCTCACCTCTTCGTCCTCCTCATCGGTGCTCTTCCCTGATGGAGTGGTGGAGCTGTTCTTCCCCTCCTCTCCAGAGGTGGCGCTGTCTCTGTTGGGAGCTCGTGTTCCCTGCTCAGCCTCCCACTCCTGCAGCACTTCTTCCAGGTTGAACCGCCGCCGGTAGTTCACAAAGAAGTTCTTCACCTGACCCACCGTCTTGTTACCGATGACGTCTGCGATGGCCTGGAAGTCTTTTCCGTATTTTCTGACCCCTGAAGAACATTGCAGACAGTTTAGTGATGTCATCGATTGCCAAACTGCACCTAAATGGACAGTGAAAGTGAAATCAGCTTCCTGGCGTTAACATTATTCCTATAAACTCTGTGTTTGGGCTCCACCATCTCCTGAGGGAAACCTCTGGAGCTGCTAAACGCTCCACCGTGTTCTCCAGCTGGTTCTCTGGCTGCTGGTCGTCGCTGAGCAGGTCGTGGACAGGGCTGTTTAGAGCATATCCCCTGAGACCAGCTGCTTCCTGCTGCGGCCCAGAGCCGCACTGTGAGAGCGGTAAGAACCAGGAGGGTAACGCTGTGGTCCAACACTAAACGGTGAGCTGATGGCCACTGTAAATCTGTGTGAAGCTGAGGGGAGCTGCAGGTTCAGCTGATCATTCTCTGCAGGTTTGTTACTACCGGACACCTGAACACCATTTTCATACACTTATTATAAAAATAGCAACCACATGAAACACCTGCAGGTGTTCCTATTTATAAAAGGCCCATGTAACCTTCGGGCTGTTCGTCATCATGTACTGTATGTGGTCTGTTGGATTTCAGTTCGCTGCACCTCTCACACCTGCTACCTAGTCACCTGCTGTGACTCAGGTCAGTGATGACACTCACCTTGAACAGCCAGGAGCTGCTCGTCTGTGGTCCAGCGGGCGTTCACCTTCTGGTTGCACTGCAAGAATAAAGATCAGAGTTGACAGGTGGAAACAGAGTTTGGATCTAGAGCTTAAAGATATGGCAGAATATGTCTATCTGTGCCAAATACAGGGACGCTCGGATCCCCTACTTAACACCTGAAGACGTCAAATATAAATTAAGCTAATGTTCTTTTTCTGTATATCATGAAGTTGATCTTTTCTGTTTAAACGCTGAAAAGCCGGAGCATCACAGAAAACACGCCGGCAGCTGATGCAGCCCCAGGTAGAGCTGCTGATACCAGAGCTGCTTGTGAGTCTGCAAACTGAACAGTAAAACCACATTCTGGACTCTGTGGTTCTGGTGCTTTTCTTCATCACCGAAAGCCCAACAGAAGAAAATCTTAACAGCAGTTCCATCTTGAAACAATATAATAAAACATGCTACTGTTCTACAAATGCCCTAAAATCACAGACAAACTGCTGCAGTTTCAAAACGGCTCATTACTGAAGGGGATGAAAGGATCCATGAACTAGTATTACACAGTTTGAGAGAGCAGTGTCTGAGCAGGAGGAAACCAAAGTGCCTGCACAATCTTCACGTGTCACTGAATGTGTGTTTGTTATTCCCTGTTGTGCTCCTCTACAGTTTTTTGCCTGCGCTGCCCAGCAGGTCGATCAGACTCTGGACACAAGGTGAAACGTCTTCCCATTTTACAAATGCACCAAAAAGTCTTTTTACTGGATATTGGATGAAGATGTGTGCTAACTCTGGCTCACACCAATGACTGAAATTCATCTTTGATGTGATGATGCGCGGGACCCCCGACTGTCCTCACGGCGTGTCACACCCTGGAGGTTGGCACAAACCTTTTGGTTGCAGAAAACTCATGATCACCAAGTGCGAACCCAAACTACTGCTGCCCAAAAGGTTTTAAAGGGAAGAGTTAACTTTAAGTATTTTTATCTATCCATTATTAACCCACTGAGATACAAGGTCTCTTCCTCCAGAGAGTCCTGGTTCGTGATTAATGTCATGTAGCGAGACGACGCTGGGCATCAGTGTGTTTGTACCTCAGGCAGCCTGAACTCTTCGATCCCAGACTCCAGCATGTGTTTCAGTCCGCTGTTCATCTGTTTGGCATTCTGCACCTGCAGGGCACATCAGAAACACTCGGGTGACGTTCAACCAGGTGTTGTTGGACTTTCATTGCACATGTTTGAAACTAGAACGATTAGAAACGGTGAGCTGGGGCGGTTCAGGCCCAGCTGCTAAGGGCTGCTATGGATCTGAGAAATCTCCAGGTGTTGCTGTACTTTCTTTGTTTACACAAAAGCAAAGAAAACATCATCACAAGGTTCAACAAAAATCAAAAACAGTGAGTCTGTCATTTCCTGATTCTCTACTTTGAAATGTAACTGTAGCGTCCTTTTATTTCTGAATGGACAACAGTTCACTGAGCCCCTCAGGTGTCACCACCAGGTACAGTACAAACACATCTGTCTTCACACTTGTACTAATGCTAATTCCAGCTAACGTGATGCTTTACAGGCATGCTGCACTGGTTTGTGTGTGACGTTCTTCTAGGCTGTCATGACTCCAGACACACAAACTGCTCTGGACATCAGAGCTGTTGGTCCAGTCACGTGATCGTCATCAGCAGAAGAGTGTAGATTTCCACGCTTTCCAAGTTCAACAATGAATCACCACAAATCTGTTAACAGACATGTGCACACTAAATACCATGCGTCATTTCAACATGCAACAACACTGATAACAGCCTTAAAGCTTTTAGGAAATGTCTGTGGTGTTTTCGTTTAGACCCTTCCTGTCTGCTGTGGCAGCATCTTGGTCATTGTGCAGCAGGTCAAAGTTCAGCCAGGACATTTACAACTACAGACTTCTCAATGGATCAATCTCAGCCTTTTAGATTGCTTCCTCATAGCAAACACACAAAGTCAGAAATAGATGGCGATCCCTTAAAACCTGCCTGGCTCAGCTCAGTCTGGATCAGTGGTTGGGTCAGCGATGTCATAACTGCTATGAAAGATTGCCTACGGCAGGTGGTTAGAAGTGTACTGTAGCTTTCATTCCCCCTGTTTTCTCAGATCCCTGGACTGCAGGAGGAGTGGTACAGCACCTCCCACCTGTCTCTTGAGGGACACCAGCTCCATGTCCAACTGACGGAGGAGAGTGCCGGCGGCGGAGGCGCTGCAGGACACGGCCACCACGTCCTCCTGGGTCAGGTACATGCCTTTGGGGGGGCGGCAGCGGGAGCGCTGGTGGTGTCGGTGCTGCAGAGTCTGGTGCTCCCGCCGACCCAGGGCCACCTTAGAGCCTGGCACCGTTGGCTCCACCTGGTTCTGAAGGTGAGAGAAGATACAGGAAGGGATGACTTTGAGTTTAAACACTGGTTGATGGGCCCCTGAGGACATTTAGGACCTTTTGTAGAGATGCTCATAGAAAACATCTATAACTGGTGTTATTAGGAAACAGGTGGTGTGTCCACGTACCTCTTTCTTGGTTTCCTTGTTGGGGTCATAGTCGCTGTCATTGGCTTCAATAGGATTGGCCTCCTCCATCTCCTCATCACTACGGCAACAATGAGACAAAATTCAGTTGTTGTACAACAGACAGCCGAGAACCCAAACTACAATGTCAAACCCATGAAGAACAGCAGCAACACAAGACATGACAATGAATTCAAATCTAAAAATCAACCGAAGTTCTGAATCAGCAACATTTTTTAAATCTGGTGATGGGTTTAATCATTTTTCAAGCAAAAGGTCAGACGTTTTCAGGCAGCTGCTTCTCCAGCTGCTGTTCGGTTCTATATCTTGTTAAGTGAATCTCTTTGGGTTTTGGGCTGTTGGTCACACAGAACGTGACATCAGTCTGGAGTCTGCTTCTCCTCTGTGCGAGTCCAGACCATGGTCCAACTCATCGCTCTGTGCCGTAGACCTACACTGTTGTCCGCCAGCTGTTGGCGAGCCCCCAGTGAGCCACAGCGCTGCACTAGGGGGCAGGTTTCCTCCTCAGGAGGTCGTCTGTTTCCAACATACGGCTCCAACACACCGTTATGTGCAGCGAGGAGCTGATGGAGAACAGTGTGACCAGGGCAGACATCATGCACGTTTTAACAGTGGAGGTCTACAGCAATACGCTAAACCAGGGTCTGGGCCCACACACATCACGGTGAGGATACCACATTCACCAGTGCTGTTGGTTTCTGGACGGGGTTTGTGGGGAATAACACAAAGAGCAAATCAAGGCTGCTGCTCGTCCTCAAACTGGCAGTCAGGCTTTGGTCTGACAGTGAGACTCTGTGAACCAGCTCTCTGACCTTGCAGTTTTGTCAGATGTTGTACTGATCGGGGCTGGTACCTGTCATCATGGTTGCTCCTGTTGGCCAGTTTGCGAGCCTGTCTGTCCATCAGACTGGTTCTGGATCGAGTCTTCTTCCAGGAGTAGTAGTACTTCACCAGACTGGAGATGGATTTGTCCGGTAACTGAATGCAAACACAGTAAAAATCATCTTTTACTACCAATGGGGGTAAGTAAAGGAGACAGTCTGGGAGCGCCACATTGTTGTGTTAGGCGTTTACCATCTGCTGGATACGGTGGAAGCTCTTTCCATGGAAGCTGAAGGCCTGTTCGAACAGCACTTTGTCCTCCACTGTCCACTCGTCTGGAAACGGGGTGAAGTTGGGCAGGTCGGCCAGAGACTTCTCTATGTTGTGTTTGTGCCAGAAGAGCATCCCGAGAGCCTGGTAGCACACACACACACACACACACACACACACACACACACAGGGAAAACCATGCAGATGCTCCAGACCACATCTGCATCTCAAAACACTGTTTATATCTGAAAATGGAGAGAAACAGGTGTTTTAATTGGCTTAAACTCCACTCTATCTGGTGCCTTTTCAGCCCAGAGGGTCTAGTGAGACTCAAAACAAACTGACACCATAAACCGCTCCTGACCGCTGTTTGCCCCTCCCATCATGTTAAGTTTCCTAGCAACAGCGTGAGCTACAGGTGCCTGGTTTGGACAAACGGTACAGAATACAGCCTCTAACCATGCTAGGTGGCTAATGCTAACAAAACAAACAGGTTAGCTTTAGATGCTAACACATCCAGAAGGAAGAAGGCCACATCTGGATGCAGTCCTCTGGCTGCTTTTAACCCTCTCCATGCCAGACAGCCAAACTGAGGTTAACCCTGGTCGTTGCTCTTTCTTTGTCCTGCCTGTCATGGATGTGCTCTAACAGTGAGGGACCCACCTGCTCCACGTTGTATCCATGCTTCTCTTTGGCTATAGCAATGTATTCATCCACTGTGGAGGGAAACCCGCAGCGTTAGTTCAGTCTGATGTGAGGACCCGACAGAGGACTGCACAAATGAACACACAAGCATTGACTTACATTTGGAGTTGACAATGGTGTGATAGGGAGACCAGACCAACATCCCTCCACTGTCTTTATCTGTGTACTTCGTGGAACCTGAACACAGACAAACATCACTCTTTACTTCAGCTGCAGGTGTTTTTTCAACAAATTTAGCAGTTTTTTTCATGTCTAATACAAGAAATGATCAAGTTGCATTATGGGATCCAGTGTTTTTGCTGCACAGATTTTTATCTTACCGTGTCAGCGTCTCAGCAAGGCCCAGCTACTTTAAGTGCATACCAGACCACTGGTACTTTACTGCTTCACTTATCTCCTGGGCTTTTTTCTCCAGACAGCAGTTTGTGTTTACTCCAAGATATTTCTACATTTCTTCATGGATGCCACAGTCATGTTCTTTAGCTTTTTGTAGTTATCATATACAAGGACAAAGTATTGTTGATGTACAGTATTGTCAACAGCCATCACTCCTATTCAGAGATTTTACATTATTACGTCTGTGATTTACTACACTGTTGCTCATTATCTGTGTATAAAACAGCCTCTAATTCTGGAGGAGTTAGTTGTTGACTTTTATTAATAAACTCTTGTATCTGCTTACAGCTACATTAGTCTGTTATAAACCCTCTATTACATGTTTAAATCTTACTCACTACAAATGTTAGCTATCATTTAGTTAACAACCAAAATAATTGAAAGAATCTTTATCAAAAACTTCTGTAACTCTGGGGGAAAACATGCGTATTGGCTGATATATTATGAATAGATTGAATAGATGTTGTATTGTATAGACTGTATCATTGATCAATGATGACATTTTTTGGTACCAGGTTCATAAAAGCATTAGTTTGTTACTGTATATATTATATGATATGTTAAGGTTAAACAACAGGCGCCTTTAAAAACAGTCCATTTACCTTCATTAATCAGAAATTCATGAATGTGACAAGTTGTCAGTGAGGAGCTGAGGTAGCCTCGGTCCATATTCAGCTTCTGACACAGTGGCCTAATTATTAACGGTATCGTTATGAACCGCAGACACTGAGTAGAAAACTCGTTTAATCTGTTTTAAAACTCTACAGTCACGGTTTGCCTCCGCCAGCACATGAAGCACACATTACAGTCGGTCTGTGTTGCTGTAGCTCCATATACCGAGGCTACCACCGTCCGACTGTCTGGTAGAAATCGATAGAACCTCACCGGGCTCAAACTCTGGAATGTTGGCTTGATAATCGGCTCCGACCCGCATGCCCACATCTGGAAAGCACGAACAAGAAACACGGGACATATTTTATTCGCATTTTTCAGGTTAAAACGCGGTTACAGGGAGCGATTAGATGCTGTTCGAGGCTATACTCGCCGTGTTCGTCGTCGCTGCCGCTCTCGTCGGAAAAATGTCCGTTCGAGGCGTTGGACGGACTCTTGGTACCGTTGGAGCGACCTTTACCCAGATACTCCGGCCCTTTATCCATCATCCCCGGCATCCCCGCGCTCTATTTCACCGTCTTTCAGCAGCTCTGTCGGGATATAAAATGTCAGCAGGAGCTGGAGCTTTTTCTGCTGCTGTTCGCTCACTCGCCGCGGCTCCGTCCGTGTCGCTGTAGCGCTCTTCTCTCCGCTCCCACCGCCTCTCTCATGGTCACTTCAGACTGTATGACCTCACAGATAACAACCACACAGCCTCTTCTGAATTTGGTGCATCATTAATATGTAAAACGTTCCCTGTGGGGAAGGTTGCTGACCCTCTAAGGCCGTGTTTGAGCAGGGTCTAACCACCACGGCGGAAGGCTTTCTACGCACCTTTAGGCGGCAGTGCGGGGCCTGCTGCTGCGGAGACAGAATAGATCCTTCCGCCGATACAAACTAATAAAATAAAAACTAAATCAACTTTAAACTGAGATTTAACAGTAACAACACTTACATTAAAATGGCTAAAACAAAAAACGGCTCTAAAATATGTGGAAATCATAAATATTGACGATAAATTGTGCACATTATAATTTAATATGGATGAATAACATGTCACAGATGATTCCAGCGCTCCATATATTTATAAATTGCACTATTCCTTCCTAATACTAATGAAATGTTGATAATTCATAGTGTTATTTGTGTTGTATCTCCTTGCTTATCAGTGACTCTTCCTGCAATGACTCTTCCGAACCAGCAGAGGGAGAAACAGCACAACAATCTGACGGATGACGAGCAGCTGTAAACTACAGAGAAGAAATCACACAGTGGATTATCACGTATGAGCTGACCCCTTACAAACATCGGTCTGTCCTTCTGTCTGAGAAATTAACTCCTTCTCTTCACTAATTGGTTGCCTACAGCCCACCTGACCTCTCTGGCCCCTGCACCAGAGCCTGGGTTTGAATGTAGTGAATATGTTTTTGTTTGAAAGTCATGAAGCTCAGTTAAGACGCAGTAACCACAAAAAATGCAAAACAATTGCAAACATTTGAGAATTTCCCATGAAAAGTTAAAATACCCTCAGAGAGGCAGCCTGGGGGTCTCGCATGGGTTGGGGAGCCTTGTACCTCCCTGTGCCCAGGGGCCCATTGTCCCATCATGTGTCCCTTCATCGTCAGATTCATCATGCAGCAGAAAACAGCTGGTGACAGTAATGTCTGTGGGTTATCCTGTGTAAGAAACACGTTACTTCAGGAAAGCTCTGCACTGTTGAGGTTTATAAATGTACTTTTGTGAATGTTCAACACCTTTTATTCAACTGTGAGATCTCAAACCCTCGCTGTGTAAAAGTGGCATCCATGACAGAGAAAACAAAGCTTGTTGTTAAATGGACAGTTACTCATAAGACACCTGAAATAGCTTTTTCACAACTGTCTGCAAACACCACTCTTTTTTTGGAGAGGTCATTACTCCGATGGGTGCACTTTTATTTGTCAAACTCATGTAGGCCTATTTTTTAAAGTCAAACCTCAACCAGGCAAATAGAGCGACAGATGTTTAGAGCTGACGGTTATTTTCATTACTGATTTATCTGCAGATCATTCTGTAAAACTGATCATTGTTACAGTAAATTGTCAAGTAGTGAAAATGTTTGATGTGACACCTTCAACTGTTTTAACCATAAAAACACCCAGAGTTTCAATTTACTGTCACGTGACAAATAAAAGCATCTAATCAGCAGCAAATATTGACACTTTGTCGCTTAAATGACAAACCAATATTTGATTATTAAAATAGTTGCTAACTAATCCGTTAACCCACCAACTGTTGCAGCTCTAAATGTTTTGTTTTTTTTATTTTGGTGAAGTGACCCTTTAATGAGAAGGACGTCAGTGATGTAATATGTACCTTCAACAAGTCTCTCTCTCTCTCTCTCTCTCTCTCTGTCTGTCTCTCTTCCGTTCTTTTTACCAGTCCCTCTTTCTCTCGAGGTGTCTCTACCTCTCCCTCTCTCTCAGTATAATTGAATCCTC